TGACCAACATAGAACTTCGCACAGAAGTGCATCAGTTCAAGTTTCCACAGTTTACATAGTACACATAGGTGGAGAAAAGAAAACATTCGGAAGAACCATAATAATAAGCGGAGATATGAGGTAGAAAGAAGAGTAGCATGAAGATTTAGTGAGTATTGAGAAATCATAAAGAGTCAATGTGTATCTGTATCATTGAGAGCGATTTTGGGCCATATCATTAATAGTCTCTAGCCATTGATTGTTAGCATCCTGAGCGCATCCCACCTGGCCAAACAGCTCATACCTCCCTATGTGGCTTAAACTGATCGGCAAAGACTCCATGAATTGATGCCCGATTTTGAGCTAACATTGCTTGTTTACGAAGGTGCTGGTTTGGTATCAGTAACACGTGTCTTACCTACTTCAGTCGATGGCTTCACAGTCTCATTATATATATGAGTGGCATTCGATTCTGTCGACCGAGAGGTACTATGGCGATGTTCGACTGTGAAAGGAATACCGAGAAAATACATTGCACTGATCGAGGCACCCTACTCGAACTCATGCAGTCGGCCATGTGAGAGCCTGTTGAGAGTTGTCATCTAATAGGATGACAACTAGTGGTGTTCGTCAGGGAGGCCCACTATCCCCATTTCTATTCAATTTCATCATAGATGTACTAATGGACTTAACCCTAAGTGACTTCAGTGACTCAGAGATTGACTTCTTACTATCAGGGAATAGTAGATATGTTGAATTAGAATATGCAGATGATATAGTCCTCCAGCCCTGGTGAAGATACTGGCAAAAAATAGAGCAGAGTCTCCTGAACACCTTTAGCAGCGAGCAGTCTTCTAATGCTTGCAGTGCGATTCGCTCCCTTGGTCAAATGTAAGATGATGATGCTAGAGGACTCGACTGGACTACATTGACTCTTAGCCTCAAGACAGGGGAGTGAAGTGGTTGGTGGAGCGTGTTGACCACTTCACTCACTTATTTGGGGGAGTTGCATCAGTCAACGCCAACGGGTTGGTCGCTGACGAAATCTCATCAAGGATACAGAAGGCTCATTTTGCATTTTCAGCCAACTTACACCATCTCTGATGCAGACGTGATATCCAGCTGGTTGTCGACCAAAGGTTGTGTGTACTGCTCAGGAGTTCACTGCGTCCTCGCTTATGGCTGTGAGTGAGACATGACCATTAAAAGTGGAAGACGTGAAAAGGAGGGTCACCTGTCTTTGATCATACGTGTCTGCATTCCATCCTCCGTGTAAGGTAGTAGGTGTGAACAGTATTGGAGTTGGGCGTTGGTCGAGTGCTATTTAAAGGGGGGAAATCAATCGGGACGAGGTTGTGAATCTATATCGATTGAGAGAGATGGTTAGGACATGTCCTACGCATGCGTCCTTAGCCTTCGATCACCTTTCGCGGCGGGCAACATTGGCTGATATAGGATCAGGTTTTTGAGAAAGTGCTAGTGATGGTCAAACCAAATCATGGCTTCATCGGTCAATGAAATCCACAACAGTTAGTTTCATCTAGCCACGTAGGAAGGTGTAGACTTCTTGTTTGGAGTCCTCGGGATGCTAAAAACCAATGAAGACTGGAGACAATGAGTGATATGGCTCAAAGTCGTTGTCATTGGCTGGCTCATCTGCATTCACTCTTTGTGATTTGTCATATCCAATAATACTTCTGGCTGTCTTTTGAACCTCTCTATACTCTATTCTCGTGCTTTGTGTGCTACATGGAGTGTGGCAACCCGAACTACTGAACGTCTGTGCAAAGTTCTACGTTGAAACCAGTCAGCTTTAAAAATCAATTGACTTTTTTAACTATCATTCAGTCTCATGAAGACTTTCTTAATGAAATTTGCTCTAAAGAAGCTGTCTAGAAGCACAAAAATATCCTGGAAATTAAATCTACCAGCTCAGAGAACACAAACAATTTAAAATCTTCCACCTGAAGTATAAATCTTTATTTCAAAAAGTGTCAGTCTCTGTATAATTATGGAAGGGTATTATATCACCTGTGAATTAATCTAGTAGGGCACTGAAGTCGTAATGGATTTAAGTCTTATATATTTACTGTTTTAGCTTTGTTAAACTTTACAAATGATTAAATTATCTATTTATGAATATAATTCTACATTATTATTACTATTGTATCCTTTAGTTCCTAGAGGAACATAGGGCTTCAGCTGCGCGTCTCCATTGCCTTCGGTTCTCTGCCAACCTTTCCACCCCGCTTTAGGTCTGTCCACATGCTTTCATCTCCTCCTCGCATGACCTCCTCCAAGTCACCGTTGCACTGACGACCAACTCGCCGCCTCCCTTTCGGGTTCCACTCAAGCATTGGCTTGTCTAGTGATGTCACTTGATGGTTCCCTCAGTGTATGGCCAGTCCGTCTCCATTTCTTCCTGCCTATTTGTTGCACAATCGGTTCCTGCTGGGTTGGTTCGCTCATTGCCAGAGATCCCAGTTGCTGATCTTTTCTGGCCAGCCATCTGATATTGAGTGGTATTGAGCGAAGACAGCTGTTGATGAGGGTGTGTAGTTTGTTTGAGATGCTCTTTATGACTCGCCAAGTCTCTGATCCGTATAGTAGCACTGACTTTACATGTCGCCAGATGGAGTATTGTCCATTGTTGCCTGTAGTTGTCTGTAGAGTTCTTCTTTCTTTTCGAGGTCTGCGTTGTTTGTGAGTGCATAATATTGTATGATTGACACTTTCCCTCCTTTGGAGTTGAATCTGGCGGTCATTATCCTGGACGAGATCGCCTCCCATTGCATCAGGGTCTGTGTTGCCGCTGGTGACATCATGATAGCCACGCCCTCGGTGTGCGTGTGGTTATCTTCTGGGTGACCGGAGTAGATCACTGACTCACCCGTTGACAATTTGGTGAGTCCACTCCCATTCCACCTGCTTTCACATATTCCCAGCACTTGGATTCCGTATCTTTTCATTCCGTTGGCGATCTGGGCAGCTTTGCCGGTCTCGTACATAGTGCGGACGTTCCATGTCCCCACACAGACTTTTTCTTTTGGTGCAAAGAGGTTCATTGTGCTGAAGTTTCTGTAGCAATTTTGTTTACAGGGTGGGGTTGCTAGCCTCACGCCTGAGAAAGGAATTTTTACATTAAGATAAAGTTTAGAGAGAAGTGACTTTTTGGGTTGCTTCCCTTAAAATCGGAAAACAACGGACAAAACAATTAGAACAACACCAGTAAAAGGAAAATAATTCACAGCAAAAAGGGCAAAAAGCGACAACAACGATACAATACAACAACATGCAATATTGTTCAGCACAGTTAACTAAAATGATATCTCAACCATAAAACTCACTGTCTTGGAACAACTTGAACATGTAAATCCAACAATATATACAATTATAGATGTGTTTATGTTTAAAAATTCCACAAATCCAAATAGTTAGTTATAGGTATTATCTGTCAATAAGATTTTATCTTCGTATTTAGTGTTCGAAAGGTAAATAATTATAATAGTTTCCACAAACTCTTAGCTTGAAATTTTACAGAAACGAGAGTTTTTATAAAATTAGAGAAATGTAGCGCAGTAGTCGAAACGCGCGCGTCATCAACAGCTGTTTCCGCTCAATAATACTCAAGATCAGATGGCTGGCCAGAAAATATCAGCAACAGGTAGGGGGATCTCTGGGGATGAACCAACCCAGAAGGAACCAATCGCGTGCAACAAACATGCAAGAAGGAATGGAATTGGATCCATAAAGTGACATCACACGCCAGGCCGTCGCTCGAGTGGAACCCGAATGGAAAGTGGCCAATTGGTCGTCAGTGCAAGGGTGACATGGAGGAGGTCATATGAAGAGAAGATAAGAGCATCTGAGCAGACGTGAAGCTAGGTGAAAAAGTTGGCTGAGAACCGAGCTCAATGAAGACGTGCAGTTGAAGCTCTATATTCCTTTAGGAACTAAAAGAGATACTAATAGTAATAGAGAGATAGATGGAGGAAGTCTGATTTCTAAATAAGCACTCCATAGAATTATAAATCGAAAATGCTAAAAGCCTCACAATGAATGAAAAAAACCAAAACAAATAGTAGTGAAACTTTTAACCATAACGTTATATATGTCCAAACCAAGTTCACTTTTAACAGTTTGAAAACAATTTGGGCATTGGGTATATGATATTCATTATAATAGAGGTTTTTGTATTTCCCAATGCGTCGGTGGTATAGCGGTTAGGACGCTCGCCAACCATGCACATGGTCCAGGGTTCGATCCCCGGCCGATGCACTCCTTTACCTCGCTAAGCCAGAAATAAAACCTGGTAAAGAGGAAAGGTTGGGCATGGGGCTAGCAACCCCATCCTCTAAAATAAACTCTGCTACAGAAACTTCAAGCCACTAGCTTGGAGCCCTATGTTCCACTGGGGAACGTGAAGGAAAAATTATTATTATTAATGGATGAAAAACAAAACGATATTGTTTTTACTGACGTTTCGCTAATTAATGCTAATAGCTTTCTCAAAGTATTATTAAACCGAAATTTACAAAATCTCAGCATATATATAACAAAGAGTTAAGGAGTGAGAAAAATATGAACTTAGTTCAACTTTAAAGGACATATTGAAACCATAACGTTAGTTTAGAAGGGAGTTAAAACATCTACAGTGTTACCGTATAAAGGAAGGCCATGTGAAACACTGCGTGGGATTCATAATAATAATAATAATAATAAAACAGGATTCAGTCTGGCATTCATTCAAACCTGCTAACTCATTTGCCCACACACTATTTAGGCTAAAGGACCATCTAGACCCGATTAGACAAATTTAATGTACAAAATACCTTGTGACGACTATAGTGCGTCGGTGGCTATGGCTATGCTCGGGATTAAAATAGGCTGTGAAAACGCAGAGATTTAACCGAGTGTCACACTGTTATAAAAATTTTACTCTATTACAGAGCCTAAATTTCTTTAAATAAAGTTTCTTTTCTTATTGTTTTTTTTGTTGTTGTTGTTGTCGTCACTGAAAGAACCTTTCTGTCAGACGAATGCTGCACGTTCACTTCGTGCTGATGATATTGTCCCACGAATAAGACAAGCATTTATGAAAACAAATCAAATTCTGCGCTCACAACGTCCATTAGAATCATTATGGATCAATAATAACATTAATAATAATATTAATAATAATTATTATAATGTTGACTGTATGGAATGAACGGATGAACGGATAAAGCTGAATGAATGAACGACTAACTAACTTTTCTCCGGGCGTTTCTTTTCCCATGACTATCATCGTCTTTTGTTAAAATTTACACTCCTTTTGATTGGTTGTCATCATTAGAAAATTTGGGGAAGAATCCCGGTGTATAGATGGTTGGATAATATACCCTTGTTTTCTCTCATATTATATTACTAAATATAGAAACGTGGATGTGATTTGAGAACAACAACAACAACCCTTTATTTTGTTCCCTTTTTCTTCTTCAATGTCCAATGTAGCATGTCTTTTTTGTTTAAAATAACCACTTTTCTTTTAGAAAAAATTTGCCGCTTCATTTGATAACATTTGACAACAGAAACTAACGCTACTTACAAACTTAACTCCATTTTAAGAAACTACCTAAAATAAGCACTTGTAAAACTTTCAAAAACCATTTCCCCAAAAATTCTTTATATACATATATATTATTACTGTTATTATTATTATTAGCGTAAATACTATTTGACATGATAATACCGCTACTAATATGTCTGATGAATGCACATACATACCATATCGATTCATATATGTACATACTATAAATAATTATCTTTAGATATATATAATATATATATATATATATATTCCCAATCTCTAGTAATATCATTTAATTCTTTTTGTGATTCAATAATATTGATTGATGATTACGCTTCCTCGTGTTTCTTTTTTTTCAATGTTCAATACCAACAACAAATGCGCGCTTTTTTCAAATTTTGATTTTTCCTTCTTTTGAATTTTTTAGTTTTTGAATTGATGGTATGTGTATTTCTTTGACTGGGTGCGGGCGTGTTTAATAACAACTACCTTCCTTTATAATCTATTTATTATTATTATTATTATTATTATTATGTGATTGATTACTTGGACGGACAGTAATGGTAGTGACAATATTAGTAATAATAATAATTTACCCGATTAGTGTTTTTTCTTTCCCATTTCCCCACTCCACATCTTCACCCCTTTATCTTCTTCTTCTTTAATGATTCAATATATAATTCTTAATTGGGAATTACTTCTAGTTAACGTATAATTCAAATTCGAATTCTACTGATGCGTTACCATGACTACTGATTGGATTTATGTTTATTCTTTTTGTATAGAAGAGTTATTTCACTGTATATCACTCCTCATGTCTTTCATATGATACGTATTCCTATAAGCTGGTGATGTGATGTAAACATCTCGGTGTAGTTGTGTCTACCTACCGCTCTCTGCTGCTGTGAGTACTTTACTGGTGGAATGGACAATATCATTGATGATGATGATGAACATTGTTGTGCATATGAGTGTGTGTTCCATCTTTAAAAACATCTTTAGGGCCGGGGGGGGGGCATAAAACTGTGCTTGTGCGTGTGTTTTGTATATGTATAGTATGTCTCTCTCTCTCTTTCTGTGTTTCTCTGTTCTTCTCTGTGTCTCTTCGTGTGTGTGTTTGTGTAAGTGTGTATCTATGCGTGTTAAATTCAGGGAGATAATAAAATTCCCTTTTGTGTATGATAGAGGCCAATTTTAAGTTGTCCTTTATTTTCTTTGATAACAGCATTTCATTTTTTTGTGCCTTATTTTTTTATGTATGTATGGTAAGAATTGACTGTAAAATTCCATACCTTCTTTTTGTTGTTGATGTAATAAAGTTTATTTCAAAAAGGCGATTTACTTCTGCACTTGTAAGCGGTTATCATAATGTTTCAAATACACATGATGTTCTATAGTTTGGTTTGTTAGGGTTAGTTTTGTTCTTACGAGTTGATCACGGATTGATATCAGTTAGAGAACCAGCCACTGGACAGCTGTTTCAGGTCATGGGTTCGAACCCCAGTGGGTGCGTACTGCCGATGATTCCCAAACTAGGATGAAACAGCTGTCCAGTACTCCCTGGTTTTCACTGGTTGTCTAACTGTTATCAATCTGTGATCAACTCGTAAAAACAAACCAAACTATAGAATATTAATCTGATGCTCGCTAGTGACTTTTGCTACAGGACAGACGGAGTTTCTTGGAGTTCTAATGAAAAGTCGGGACCAGTGAAGTCCATCCAGATGTCACATGTGAGGATGAATGTCCCACCTACGACAATGGTTGGGGGCACAACAAAGCACGAATTAGTAGAAGTTAGAATTCATCCGATGGCTATTGGAGAGTCGGGTCCCAGTGGCTGAATGGTATACGAGCTAGCTTGCCTTGTAACCGGAAGGTCCTGGGTTCGAGTCTTATTGGTGGGTGCGTACTGCCGATGATATATAATGTTGTTGGAGGTGGTGGGCTGTGGCTAGCTATGAAATCTAGGAAATGCGCGTTTCTCCGTATTTGGGACTTGTCAGATGGATGTGTACTTGCACCACCATCATCTGGAGTGATTGATAGTCTTTTCAGGTAGTTGTGTTCTCTCAGCTAGATAGCTTACTTGCGAAGCTTTTATTGCCTTACGAGGTAACATCTTCAGCACACACACTTTGATATGATGAAGTGAGCTTTAAAATTTCTCTCTCCTGGTCCATGGTGAACGTGATTGGTTGCTTATGTCTGTTTTCACACCTTCTAGTCTACTGGGGTGTATTGGTGTTGGTTGCTTTCTTGACCTGAAGTTTGACTTTTTGTGTGTGAGATTTCGCTCTTTATGGGCTGATGAATTTTATATATGTCCGTGGTACAGTGGTAGAATGCTGGCTAACCAAGCCTCACATGGTCCAGGGTTCAACCCCAGGCCAACGCATTCCTTTAACTCGCTAAGCCAGTAATAAGACTGGTAAAGAGAGAAGGTTGGGCATGAGGCTGGCTAGCAACCCCAATCCGTATTTGAGGAAGAACTAGCTAAACACATATCTGTGTTCGACAGCTGTGCTCACCCTGAAGAAGCTTGGAAAAATATCCAGGCAGCCATAGATACAGCTGTAAAATCTGTGAATAAGGTAAACCCAAAGGTGAGTAAAAACCACTGGATCTCCACCGCCTCATCCGAACTGATAGATGCTAGAAGACTTATTCCGGCGAGCTCCGAATTCAATGAGGAGCGAAAGCTGCACAAGAGGAAACTTACGAAAAGTCTCCGCAAGGACCGTGAACAGTGGTGGGCGACAAAAGCCAAAGAGATGGAGAAAGCTTCGAGGATAGGCAACACCAGGCAACTCTTTGGACTCATCAGGGAAACGGGTGGGAGAAGACAAATCATTAGTGAGACAATCTCGGAAAAAATGGCACTATAATTAGCTCCCAGGATAGACGACTGGATCGTTGGAAAGAGCATTATGAGGAGCAGTTTAATTTGCCCACAGCCACGCTCAACCTTCCGAGCATCCAACACCTCCCTGAATGGGATATAGATACAGGTCCTCCGTCACTAACTGAGGTTACTAAAGCTGTCACCAATCTGAAACTAGGCAAAGCAGCGGGACCTGATGGAATGACGCCAGAGGTATTTAAGTACGGTGGAGACAGCTTACTGTCCGGATTAACTGAGGTACTAGGCAGCGTCTGGGAATCAGAAGAAGTCCCATCGGGTTGGTGTAAGTCACTGATTATCCCCATATACAAGAAGGGAGACAAGTCTTCCTGTGATAATCACAGAGGGATTAGCTTGACTAATATAGTATCTAAAGTCTTAGGCTCAATAATCATGCGTAGACTGAGTGGTGCTCGGGAAGCACAAACACGAGAGAGCCAGGCAGGCTTTAGACCAGGAAGAGGGTGTATTGATCATATCTTCACCCTCCGACAGATTCTAGAACATAGGCATTCCTACCGGCGTCCAACAGTCATTATATTTCTTGACCTAAAGGCAGCATTCGACTCTGTCGATCGAGAAGTTCTCTGGAGATGCTTGGCTGTAAAGGGAATTCCGAGAAAATATATTGCACTGATTAAGGCACTCTACTCGTATTCATACAGCCAGGTGAGGGCTTACGGCGAGCTGTCATCTGAACTGGTGACGACCAGCGTTGTCCGTCAAGGATGCCCATTATCTCCTTTTCTATTCAACTTCATCATAGATGTGTTAATGGACTTAACCCTAAGTGACTTCAGACACTCAGGAATTGACTTGCTACCAGGGAATAATCTCGTTGACTTGGAATATGCAGACGATATAGTCCTTCTAGGCGAAGACGCTGACGAAATGCAGAGTCTTCTGAACACTTTGAGCCGCAATCTACGAATGTTTGGCATGCGATTCGCTCCCGCCAAATGCAAGATGATGTTACAGGACTGGACTACATCGACGCCTAGTTTAAAAATAGGAAGTGAAGTGGTAGAGCACGTTGACCGCTTCACTTATTTGGGAAGTATAATCAGCCAACGCCAACGGGTTGATCTCTGACGAAATCTCAGCACGAATACAAGGGGCTCGTTTCGCATTCGCCAGTTTACGCCGACTCTGGCGTAGACGAGATGTTCGACTATCGACCAAAGGGCGGGTGTACTGCTCATCAGTCCGCTCCGTCCTCCTTTATGGCTGTGAGTGAGAGCTGGCCACTGAGAGTGGAAGACATGAAAAGACTAGCTGTCTTTGATCATAGGTGCCTGCGCTCTATTTCCCGTGTAAAGTGGCATAATAAGGTGAGCAACATTGAGGTTAGGTGTCGAGTTCTAGGTAAGGAGGGGAAATCAATCGACGAGGTCGTGAAGTTGCAGAGACTGAGATGGTTGGGACATGTGTTACGTATGCCTAGTCATCGCCTCCCTCGACGAGCAATGTTAGCGGATATAGGGTCAGGCTGGAAAAAAGCTAGCGGCGGTCAAACAAAAACTTGTCACCGGTCAATGAAATCCACAACAGTTGGTCTAAGCCACGTAGGAAGGTGTAGACTTCCAGGCTGGGGTCCTCGGGACGGTAAAAATCTATGGTTGGAAACAATTGGTGATATGGCTCAAAATCGTTCTCAATGTCTAGGGCAGATGCATCCACTCCTTGTGACTTATGATCTCCAATGAAACTGTTTTGTATTTCTTTATTACTCCTTTGTCTCACATCTCTGCTCACTGTTTCTATTATGCTTTTCTTGTACTTTCTTCTCTTGCTTCGCGTGCTACACGGAGTGTGGCGACTTGAACTTCCGCACATTTGTGCAAAGTTCTTTGTCGAAAAGAGACAGCCACCCCATCCCTTAAAAGGAAATAACGCTGTTACGGAAACTTCAAGCCTCTAGTTCGAATGAAAAAATCTACCTGAAGTGACAGGCTTCCGAAAATTCTCTGGCGTTCCTGGTCTCTCCACTTTCTAATATTTCAAAATTGTCCCAGTAGAATTGATGTTCATGGTTTTCTGTATGAAGTTAGTGATATGAGGGGTGTGTAGATATCATGTCTTTTGATGACTAGTTTGTGATGATAGATTCGAAGACGAAGAGGAGGGCGTTCACTTTGGCCAATGTAGTGTTTTTCACAGTCGTTGCAATTTAATTTGTAGATGATGTTGGTTTTATCTTCTTTCGTTGTTAAGTCTTTTGGTTGGCACAAAGCCAGCTGAGTGAAGTGATTTTGTTGGTTTGTGTGCAACGTCAATTCCTGAAGGTTTGATAAGTCTTGCAGTGATTTCTGAGACGCTCTTTACATATGGTAAGACTATTTTCTTTGTGTTTTCCTTGGGGATCTTTGATTTGGTAGGTTGGCTTGGGTGTAGGTGTCTTTCGATGAAATTTCGTGGATATATCCATTTTTCTTGGAAGAGATACTTTTCTTCGATTTACCTTACGATAGGAGTGCTGCAATGAGTCCTGACCCACTTGAATAGTGGTTGTAGGCAACTCTTTTAGTGTTTTATTGGGTTATTGGATTGTTGCTGTTGTAATTGAGCATTTGACCTATGTGAGGTGATTTTCTGCTAACTTTAGTTTCTAATTTCCCTGTTGTTGTTCGCTTG